TATTTATTTACCCTTTGTTAAGACAATATCTATAGATATTGGCACAGATCTTAGAAATCTTTGTCATTATTGAAAGTATAGTCTAATTCCTCTCTTATTATCTTTAATTATTTTCAGTCTCTCTCAACCCTATATCGTTAGGGTGAATTAAAGTGAAACCCCACTTACCAATTTGTCATAATAATATTTTAAGCTTACATTATATATTTAATTTTAAAAAATATTTTACTTATTATAAAGTCTTAAATTGATTTTTTACATATCACTAACAGCATTCTGAAATAATAAATACTAAATTATTTTTATAAATATAATTAATTATTATTTAAATCATGTTTTAATCATTTATTAAAGTCTAATTAACCAGAAAATAATTAATTTAACTAGCATTATTAAATATCTATTAATATTCATTTGTTAATTTTTATTTTCATATCTTAAAAAGTAAATCTGAAGAAATAATTTGACTAATGTCTTCAATTATATATAAAATAGAAATAGAGAGAGCAAAAGATGTTCTTGTAGTTTTAGAATCTTATTACAGTAACTTGAAACTGACAATAAGTAGAAATTCCAATTAATTTATTACTGATATAACTATATCAGTGCAGGCTTTAATAAATGATTTATAACTGACAATTCCAGATAGTCATTCAAAGGTAGAACATCAGAAAATACAATATATTTATTTTGATAACTCAGTATTATTTTATTATTAATCAAATTATTATATTTTAGTTTTTTATAATAGGATTTTATGATTCTTGCATTGGAGAATTAAAACAATTAAAATAAAATACCTATTCAAACAAAAAAATTTATGAAACTATTGTTGATAGTTTAGCTCTGATAGTTTGTTATCTTTGATGTAAGCAAGTTAATTTTTATTTACAATATTATGTTACTAAAATATACAAAATTATCAATTTATTTGCACATACAGTGATGACCAAAAGTAATGACTCAGGGGCTAAATTTATTAATAAAATATAGTAAAAATTGAATTTTCTCTCTATATTAAAATTTATAAGTTTATTAAGAAATAATTTTTACTTTTATATCAAAATAAATTTTATTAGTTGTAGTTTAACATATATTTTTTTCAGATTTTTTAGATTTTTTCTGAAAGAGTTGTTCTAATTGTAAAGTTAGTGCAAAAATTTTTATTAATTAAAATAAAATTTAATTAATAAAAATTTTTGCACTAACTTCAACTATTTCAGAAAGATCTATGTTAAACTACAACTGATAAACTTTATTTTGATATAAAAATAAAAATTATTTCTTAATAAAATTATATTTTAATATGGAGAGAAAATTTCAATTTTCACTATGTTTTATTAATAAATTTAGCCCGAGTCATTACTTTTGATTGCCACTGTATGATACTTGAATGAACGATAGCGAAATCTCGATAATAATGATTGAATATAAGAATAGAATAGAAAATTGATAATTAACAATAGAAAGATCTTAATTGTGGAGATGTAATTTTTCTTTAGTTTCATTTGCGAATCATCAAATTATTTTTCATATTCAAAATTTCTTCAATGGTCAATTGTTTTCATATCTCAGAAATATTTGCCCAAAGCCTCTCTAAATCATAAAGATCACATGCTTTCTTAGTATCGTTATTGAATCAGCATCCAATCATCGGAATCTCATCCTTCTATGATGGGATAATTATCGATTAATGAACCGGTTGGATCTTTTTTCTCAGTGTTGTTGCAATTTATTTTTTAACTATAATTAATTTATAGTATTGTGATGATTTTTATATGCATAGTCTCTATTTAAATGGTTATTAATTTATCGTTACCTACCATTTTATATACACCGTTTACTAAATTGCCTGGATGTCTTGATCCTTTTCCTTCTCCAACAATTATCAAATCTGCCCAAGCACATTTATTTCTTGCATTTATGGTTGACAAATTCGACACATCTTCGTTCTCCAATACACTAACGATATCAATTACTTTAGAGCCATACTTTTCAAGTGCGTAATTCTTTTTTAAATCAGCTAATGTACTCTTTTTTGAAGGATGGTCCATGATCCCTGGTTTTGCAGCTCTTCTTTACCAAAAGGAATATACTTGCCATCTCCCTATCAGCATAATTACCAAGACTCTTGTACTTTGGATCTACAAACCAAGAAAAGTCATTTTTATTTTCAACCTGTCTGTCATCTTCGTCCTGATTGTCATCATTCGCACTGGTCTATTTTTCGTACTTGTTTTCGCCACTTCTTTGCGCATAATTTGATCTCTTCTCTTTTTCTTTTCTACGTTCCTGTTTGGATATAATTCTTGGGATTAATGATTTCTTCATAATTTTCGCACTCATGTTCATCGTATTCTTCAATAGCATTCTCGTCATCATCGTCATCATCATACTCATCATCATCATATTCATCATTATTATCATAATTATCGTCGTCATCATCATTATCACCATAATAATTATCATCAAGATTCGTTAAAAAATTACAATGTACAAATATCGCGCTCTTGTACGAAAAACAACATTAGATACAAATTTCTTAAAAATAAAACGCATGTTATTCTACTTGCTAAATTATGAAAAATTTCCAATTTAAACAATCCAAAGGCATCTTCAAAGTAATGTGCAGATCTACTGTCCAAACAAAGCTCAAAAAAAGTGGAAAATTCACAATTTTTCGCGTCTTTAGCGACTCGTAATGAACTCTTGGCGAGAAAAGTTAATAATTCAATAGAAATGCCTGAATTCAAAAAGATGATGATGATGATGATAATTATTCGGAAATTTTTTAGTTTGGATTATTATGGATCCATTTTTATTTGATTGGATTCAGCCATAAGATTGAAATCCATTTATTTTGTGGCTGAATCCAAAAATAAAATTCGATGTAAGGCACGCAATTGTGATCAAACCATATGTCTGATCAAAATATGTTGATTACATTAACCATAATGTACTTTCAATATATATGTATACAATGCTAAATCTTATTAAGTTAAATGATTGCAATGCTAAGTTGATTTAAAAGTTGTTCATTACAAAATTTAAACAGATTATTTTCTTTATTAAAATAAAACAACATCATCACCAAATATGATATTCCTTCACGTCATCCTCCCACATTCTCTTGAACTTGCTGCGACAACCCGCTCTTATCAGCTTTAAATGAACATAAAAGAATTGTCTTGTATGACGAACAATTTTTCCAGTTTCTTGAGAATGAATCGCTGAGAGATAGTTTAGTCGGATTTCCCAGGTGTAAATAACTTTTTTGATGGTGTAAGAACTTTAATCGGAACGGTGATAAGAATTCTGCGGTCTAAAAAGGAAAGTATCTCGATAGTTAGTGGTGTGTCAATAGTTATGATTGGCGATGAAGTAACGGATGAGATATCCGAGGCGGATGACGAAGATTTTTTGGGAATGTATATTTTTGTCGCGTATGGGGCGAATAAAAATGTTATTAGGACGGTCGATGCAGCACTTCTTATTATTGCGTTGTGAATTAGAATATTTGTTAACATGTTAAATAATCGATTCTGACAGAGAATATAATAAAACTAATCATACACATCAACAAGTGCCAAAACACTCCTCGGCAACTGGTTATCCACTGTAAAAATTAGTGGCGTCATACTCGTAATGAAAATTTTAAGACATCTTGTTGGATCCCCAAGCCTTTTATATATATTAGTAAATGTTCTTTTTCGCTTAATGATAAGACTGCAGAGGTGGATTGTGGATTTATTGTACTTGTGGTTGAAGATAGGAGCAGTGATGGTGGTGGTTGTATAACCGAGACATTGTATTAATTGAGTCTTGCGTTTATAATATGTTGAATATTTGAAAACATCTACAAGTTGTAAATTTTTTAGAGTGGAGAGAATTGGGAGTCGATTTTAAGATAAATTTCGGTAAGGAAACGACGACGCGACTTGGAAGTAATGTTCCATAAAAATGCATATTTCAGTTTTTTTCTACGAGTCATATGTTCTTCATCGATAATCCCATATATAGGTGGACTCAATCGAACTATCGCAATTGTATTTTTCAAGTTCAGTCACCTTACGATTCAAAAACTGAGACATTGTGTCACTGGCTAATCACACGCGCAGATCATCATCACCTCTTATAAATACCCCCAAACTAAATTTAATTTTCGACCCAAAACGTTATCGCTATTGTTAGATATAGTATTTTTTTTTCCTACCTTTCTTCAAGATACATAGCAAACAACAATGACCTCCCTGCCAGAAATCGCAAAAGAAAAGAGAGAGTGAGCGGCTTATCAAAAGCTCGAACGCAGAACACAGGAGAAGCTTCAAAAACTTCAAGGTCGCATACCTGAAGAACCAATAGCTTTTCCAGAGCGCGCAAGAGCAAATAATATATTTAGTCCGAATCATATAACGTCAGTCGAGTTTGAAATTGAGTTTGATGAATGGGCTACATACTTTGTGGACGATCTGCTAATTCCGCGACCTCAGAGTCATTGGTGGCCTTGGCAACCACCACCACAGGTATTTATTCTCTTGTGTTTCATGAGTGCGATAAACGTGACAGACAAGTTTGTCAATAATGGATAATGATTTTACGCGATTATTGTCTTTTTCGTGGAAAATCATTATAAATGTCATATACATTAAATCTCTCAAGGAATACTCGCTCTAAAACTCTTAAACTATTATCATGTATCGTAAATTTCACAGAAAAAAGAGGTTCCTCAAATATTGCGAGACATAGATTCTCTGAAACACGCACTTTATATCACGGAGATTCAAATCGGGGTGACAGATTTGATGCCTCCAGAGATATCATCAGGCAGACAACCACAACAACCACCAAAGGCACAACCTCGATTAACCCAACCGCTAGCTAACGCTTGACAACCAGAAAGAGTGCCTGATACAAAACCTGTCGATCAAGAAAAGAAATACAAAAAGATACAAGCAGAAGTTGATAGAATGTAAGATAATTTATCTTCAAACTTATCATTAATTATCGATATTTTTAGTAATAATGCCATTTCTTGAACAGTATTGCGGAGACGAAATTGAAAGAACAAAGAGAGAAAGAAGAGGCTGAAAGGAAGAAAAGGTTAAGAACGAAACAATATGCTTAAGCATATTGAATAATTATTTATAAGAGATTAATGATTTTTCAAATCTTTGTCATTAAAAGAGGAGAGGAAGAACGGGCAGCAGCAGCAGAAAAAACTCGCCGTGCATTAGCAGCGCAGGCGCAAATAAAGCCATTGCGACCATTATACGAATCAAAATCATCTTTGGGAAAAAATAAACATCATCGACAAAAGGGAAACTCGCCGACATCTAATCCTTCTATAGCAGAGGCGAAGTCTGCTGTAGCGTCGAGCAATCGCACCAATGGAAAAGGAAAAAATAAATATCATTCAGAGGTAAGTGTTATTAATCGAATGAATTTAACCTATTTAATTCATTCAATGTAAAATTTATCATTATAAATTTTAAGGATGAAGGAATGAACATTGATATTTCAAGAGCAACGGCGACTATCAGATCTATTGCGATCGGGTTTGTTGAGCCCATTGTCTAAGCCATTATCAACCAAGAAAAAGCAACAAAAGTCTGTCGCTATGCTCAATGTAAACAAGCTGGGAACTGGTCCAAATAGAGGCCGATCGCGATCTCGATCTCCTAATCGAAGATCAATATCACGTGTCCGATCTAGGACGCCTGAAATAAGATAGGAATTGAATAAATACATAGTGAAATTTGTTTATATTTGTTAAAGAGTTCGCTTAAACCAAGAATCTAGGATGGAAAGGGAACGATCAGACATAACATTCACGTATATGGATGAGAATGCAGTTGTAGATGCGTAAAATATAAATATTAACTTATGATGCCACTTTTTTTTAAGATTTTTTTGTGATGAGGAAAATAGGAGAATGAAAATAAAAAAGTGAATAGAGTAAAACTTACAAACAGTAGTGATAGTACGCGCGAATAGAATGAAAGAAAACGAAAAGAAAAAATGGTGGATGCTATAATCTTTGCCAAAAAGGATTATATTATTGTAGGTCTAAAATCACAGTTTATATAATTTTGTATATATATGAAAATTGATAAAAAAATTGAACAAATAAAGTTTTAATAAGTGAGGGTCAGTGTTGAATGTGATCGTTTTTTTCTTGCCTCGATTTTTTTTCGCCGCGTGATCAGATGAACAAAAAAAATGGACGAGAGATGAAGAGGGATTGATAAAGAATGTTGAGTTATCATAGTTTTTTTTTTACGTTATTGTTATTCATAAGATCTAGTTGCAATTCTTTAATTATTTCCACATCTGTTTTTTTTATCAAGCCAAAGCTTGTCTTTATATACAAATTTTTGCTAAACTAAAATAATGATTAAGTAAATGTTAAAATATAAGGATAAATGATAAGATAAATGTTTAAGATAAAGGTTAAATAAAAATTAAAATAAATTTTAAAATATTATAATCCTAAATAGACTAACTTTCTTTTTAATCATAATACAGGCGAGTGTTGCTGTATGGGTTTGCAATTGCAGAGACCCGATTTTGTCCAATTGTATCGTTGTAGTTTTTCTTTTTAAATAGCTTGGTGATTATTATGTCAATTACGTTAAATCCACCTAATCCATTTCCAAGCCCAATTTTCTTAGATTTTATTGAATTGAGATCCATTTTTTTTGTGGAATTAATTCCCAATTCCTCATCCCTAGATGTTGATTGAGATACTGGTATTAAAATCATATCCACCTCTTTAAATCCATCTAAATCATTTTTAAGATCAATTTCCTTTGGATATATGTTTGAATTAAAATCTTTATTTTCCTTTAGATTGCTTATAGTTTTCGTGGATTTAGTTCTCAATTTTTCATTTCTAGAAATCGATTGAAATTCTGGTAACGTATCCATCTCTCTGAATCCAATTTTAAATCTTTTTTCTGCGGTTTGAACATCTCCCTTTCTATCGCAAAAGAATCCAATATTATATATAGAGGTTGAGTTTCTAAAATATTTTATGATTGATAAGTTATCTTTTTCAATTCCTTTGCCTTTACAGAGCCAATGGCCATAACTAAGCTGAGTCTCAGGCAAATCCATATCGGCTGCTTCTTGAACTTTTACTATTGCCCCTTTTTTTTGCTCATCAGCTTTTTGATCTTTTAAGCAATCATAATATATATAATATTCAACCCAATATTTCGCATTGTAATTGTTCAAATCTGCATAATAATCATCATTAAACAGAATAGATTTTTATTATTAATTAATTTTTATTAATATTACCTTTATTTATAATATCCATCCATCCAATGGGAGCTTGCAATAGCGAAGAAAATTGTTCTCGTTTATCTTCAAGAACTATATTACAAATTTCTTCAATATTTATTTTCTTCTGGGATGGGCTCCTTTGTTCAACAATTTCACAAAGAAGTATCACAAAATTATAAAATAAAGTCAATAAGAAAAAGTCTATAAATCTATAAATTATTGCTGATGGTAATTTATAGAATTATTTACCTATATGTTTCATGCTTATAATTATATTGACGTTTGTCATCTCTAAGTTCCTCTGGTACCATATATTGAAATTTATCAATATCACTACAGGTATCTCTGATAACATCTTCTAGAAAATGACTTAAGATGAAACTATCAATTTTTGCTATATATATTGGACCGCCTTTTGTGATTACAATAGTTTGACTGCGAATATCGTGATATAAGCTTTCATCAATTTTTAAATAAATTAATCCTCTAAAGATATCTAAAGTGAGTTGTAGTTGTAAACTCAAAGTTGAATTGGCAGTCCATTCGGTTGTAATTTGGATATCCTCGTATTTTACATATTGTACCGCTTTTTTGTCATAGTTACTTCTTGTTCCGGTATCTGTTACTTTATCAAAAATGATATTTTCATTTATCTGAAAAGATTTATTCAGAGTAGCAACAGTTCTCGCTCCTTCTAAAATATTGGATTCTGTGTTTGAATTGGGATCTTTGTTTCCCTGTGTATTGACTTCGTCTCCTTTATACTCTTCGTGTTTAATTTCATTGTTTTTTTTATAATGTCATTGTAGATACATTAATCCGTAGGCCAAAGCAGCAACCGTCATTGTGCCTACAACATAAATACCATACCGAGGAATCCCTGGGTTCCTTATTTTTTTCACAAAGTAGTAAAGATCGATGCTTGCAATCATTTTTCAAAGTTGTAATGATTTTGTTTTTAAAGAAAAAAAAACTTGATAAGAGTTTTGATAAATAGCTTATTGAATAGAGGTAAATAGCTTCCTTTAAATAAATGAGTAAAAAACGGCAAAGCTATAAATGTTTTCTGATTGCGGTGAAAGGTGAATAACAAATTCTGTGTTTATTTTTGTGATAATCAAAAAAATTCTTATTGGCTGGGCATGGCTTATTATCAAAAATTAGTCATGATTTGCTAAATTTTGAGTTTTTTATGGACTAACATGTATTATGTCCTTATGAATTCATGAAGACGTGAGAGGTGAGAAAAAATATACTCTCCTATTTACATGTAATTTATAAATAGACTCATTTTATATTACCTTTCTTGCTTCTTCCTTATTGATTCGCGGCACCCTCATTTTTTACATTCTTCGTGTTTTTTATTATAAAAAAAATTAAAAAAATTTGCGGCTCTAAATTCATCCTGCGTACCAAATTCACATACAATAACCAAAGCAAAACCTCCCAGAATAAAGACAATCGCAAACATATATATCCATATATATATACACACGCGCGCACGGGTATTTATATTTATTCCCGTAGGAAACTCTATAGTCACGAAAAAGCAAAATGACCGATAGAGACTTAAATTCGAATGATCGTGATAATCTCGAAAATTTCATTGGCACAGTTCTAGTTGAGCCTCACGTTGACTGGCAACTCCTCATTAAAAATGGCAGCACTACGAACAAATGGCTCGAAAATGGTTCTTTGCCCGATTGTCAATTTTTTGACGCTTCTGAATGAGTTTGCTATGATGGTGATGATTTTCTCGAGCGCGGATTCAATGAGTAATAATTGGGGAATATGGTCCGGTTTTGTAATAATGCAACTTATTTAATCACTAAACCAATAGTTTTATATCCGGCGTGAGCATTTTTTTTTTTTTAGTAACTGTATTTTCATTGAGGTTTTTTTTCTGGTCTATTTGGCCTTTATAATTAGATATTTACGGTGTAGAGCTGTTTACGAACCGTATCGAAAATACAGACATATACACTTTATAATTATTGTTCGTGTGGTAGAATTACTTGTGATTGTGATTATTAATATTCATAGCATTTTTGTATGTGGAGGAGCATACACAGGAATTTGTCAAAAGGAATATGTAATCTACCAAATACGAGATGGATTAGCGCCAGTATTTAGTTTTTACTATATTTTGTCCGAGGGAATATTCTACATTAAACTATTTAGCACATTGAAAAATATTCATGCATCCGAAGCTTCAAATAATAACATTTTACGTTCTCGCACTTACCAAACAATCCTCTTCACATTGGATCTGAGCATCTTGCTAGCGATGAGCATCTACCGAATGTTTTACCTTACGAGCAACGTGCCCAGTTACGTGTACGCGGAATTGTTTAGCTCAGCGTTGACGGTTTTTGTTATGACAGAATTTGGACTCTCGATCCCGGAATTATTAGTCTCCAACTACTGTTACCACTGGAAGCATAATACCGACTTATAATGCAATTGTTCTTCCGAGAATTCGATTCCGCCGAGAAATCAAGGTTCGACAGCTCATTGCGACCTCAACAAAAAGCCATCGATAATAGGCGGCATTAATACAGATCAAAAGAATGATATTGTAAGCGATGATGATAAATTAAATAATGATCATAACAGAAAAAATTTAATCAGTGCTCTTCGGACTACGGCACGTAAATTTATTGCAAGGGAACGTCGAAATGCCAAAGAAAAAAGTCGAGTTTCTTTTCAGGAATTCTTATTAAGTACTACTTCGAGCCTTTGTACATGTAGTAGAAGACCTCATCTTTGATTATTTTGAAGCAATTACAATAAGTTCTTTGAGTTAATTCAATATTGTTTTAAACCAGTCTTTGTAAAGGTTGGCGCAGGAGACCTTTTGGATACTTAAAGAAACATTCTACCTGTAAATTATTCAGTCTAGCTTTCAACCCTTTGTTTACACCTAAATTCTTCTATTCTAGTAAAATTGGAGGAAGGTGTAACAATGACAGGTCATTTCGCATAGCTTAAGTGAAAGCTAATTTCGTATACCAAGAAAATTGCTATCGTTATGGTTCTAAGAGAAATCGTTTCGGACAGGGGAACTACCTTTTTGAATGAGAATCAAGATAATGATGATTAGTATGAATAAAACAGAAGCTCTCATTTCCTTATAAGTTTAGTAAAAAATTCCAATGAAATTCTCTGTAACGCGCTGGTAAAATTTATAAACAAGGATCGAAGTGACTGGGACGAAAAGATTGCACCAATTCTGTACGTCTATAAGTTGGGATGATATGATATTAATTGGTTTACAATCAGACTGCTGCTATAACTCGACATCAATTTAGAGTTGTTAACCAAAAATTACGATATAGACCATCTGTTTTACCAATCTTATAAGGTGATGGAAGAACTAAAAGAAACAAGAACATTAGCAAGGACAAGGCAAAGAAAAACAAGTAAAATCTCTCACTATCCACCGATACTCCAGGCTGATGATAAGGTTCTTTTGCACAGAACTTAACTTGACAATTAGTAACATGAAGTTTAAGATCCGTTGGACTGGTCCATTTTGCATTCACCATATATTAATAAAGGTGCACATAAATTAAGGAGACTGGAGGGCCAAATCTTTGACACGAAGCTCATGGTGATAGACTAAAGAAGTATTATGACCAGAATAAACCCGTTGGACTTACTATCGTGATCCCCCAATAAAATTTATAGTGATATTGCAATGGAACTATAATGAAATAATGATTAGACTTCATGTTAAAAATCATGATCCACATGACATTGCATGAGATCTGAGATCGTGAAACAGTAACTATGGGAACTATAGTGATGGTGTGAGTTATAGGAAATATTGCTAATATCATGAATGAGTCATAGCTAATAGATAATGAATGGAGTGATAATGAATGATGGAAGTAGGAAAAGGAGTAAAGTGATGTATTACTTATAAAGATGATTCGTTGTGAGAAAAAAAAGATAGAGTTTAGATTTTGGTATTTTAAGTTATTCTTTTTAAGACAGATGTAAAAGATGTATAATTGAGTAAAATAACGAAATAAAATTAAAAAATCTCATATTTTATTACAAATAAATAATAAATATATTCAATTCCAAAACTATTAAAATATAAGTTGGTTGAGTGATCCACTGAGATTGCAATAACAACCAAATTGAATCTAAATTAACCTTATATATCTTGTATTTGCGAAATTAGTACTCTATAGGAAGTTTAATTGGAAGATTCAGTAAATCTTACAATTTATCCAATAAATTATTGATAATTAGTCCTACTGAATAATAATAATATATCAAAATTAATATATATTAATAATTTTTGAGAAATTTAAATAAATTTTGATAATATCAAAAAAATAGATATTATATCAAAATTCAATTCTTAAAAATATTAAACAAAATTATTAGTAATATTTATTATTTAATAAGATATATTATATTAATATTCTATATAAATGACTATTTAGTATATGATTTTGCAATTCTCAGCTTTAGAATATAGTCAGATCTTTTTATAGTTATATTTTTTATAGTTATCTTTTTTATAATCATCTTTTTTGAATTTTTCAGTTATTAATTAATTATAATTAAAAAATTTTTATATAATTACATTTCTCTTTAGTTATTTAATTTTGTTTTTTTAAGTATAATAACTATAAAAAGAGCTGACTATATTTATCTATTTAGTTTCTTTATTAATAATTAAGACTTGATCTTTATCAAGTTTAATAAAATATTACTTTTATAAATATTAACTTTAATTTTAGATCTGAATATTTCAGTAAGATTCTTGATAGTCATATTATTTTTCTTTAATTATATAAATCAATTCAGTTTTAATAATAAAATTTATAATTGATAATTAATATTATTAATTAATAATATAATTATTTTTTTATAAAATAATACTAGTAATAATGCGCAATGATAACTAAGGTGCGATGAAAAAATCCAGGCAGCCTCAGCTAGACCACCTGGTGTTTGAATACCCATCGGCTGATCCTCAAAGGGCCGCTGTACCGGCTGGCCCCTTGTGTTCTTTCGTAGAGCAATACCTGTGCATTCATGGTAAGCTCAGTGGTGTTACCATAGTAAATAAAACTAATTTATCTATTAATATAACTTTAATCTTTTTGAACTTATTATTTGTAATAAATATAAAAGATATCTTAATAATACTATATTTAAAAATAAAAGATAAGTGATAAAATTATCAATTAAGATTTGAGATGTAGCTTATTTTATCTTTTTTTCTTCTTACCTAATACTTCTTAATTAATAGCAATTCTTTTTTAATCAAACTTAATATTTCTATTATCAAATAAAGATATATATAATTATTAATTTTGTTTTATTATAATTATTAATATATTAAAAAAAAATAAAATTAATACTTGTAATACTAATATATAACTATAATAAAAATAAAATTTAAAATTATAATTAAAGTAATAGATAAAATAATATAATTAAGTAATAATAATAATTCTGAATATATAAGTTTAATTTTTATAAAAAATTTTTAAGTTATTTTTAATATTACTTTTAGAATTACTTTTAAAATTACTTTTAGTATTATTTTTAATATTATTTTTAGTATTTTAAAGTTATTTTTAATTTTTTTACAGATAATATAGCTAAAATATTTTGTAATTTTAAGTTTTATTATTTTATTTAAAACAAATATTATTTTTTTAATTATAAATTTGCTAGTAAGTGATTTAAATTAATTTTTATCTTTTTTTATTTTCTTATTTTACTATTATTTTTATATCTTTTTTAATAATATTATTAGTATAAAAATCTTTATTTTATTTTTTTTATTAATATACAGTAATCATCATAAATATTTAGAATTTTTAAATTTATATATATATTATATGATAAAGAATGAATAGAATTTTGTAAAATTTTCAAATATATATTTTTTGATATGAAGAATAAAATTACTTAAGATATATTAATATAATATCTTATTAAAAATAATTATAAATATAGCTAACTTTATATCTTTATTGATTATTTAATAAAAAATATCAGAATTATATCAAAATTTATAAATATCTTTTTTGTAATATAATGAATAATTTCACCTATAATAAAGTAATAGGATTACTTAATATTATTTTTAATAATATAAGCTCAATCTTTGTTGGATCTGACTTTTTTTTACAATAAATTTTACTAAGAAAAGAGTAATAATAATTAATAATAATTGATAACAAGTCTGTAAAATATTTAAATCAAACTTGTATTACAGGTTATAAAGAAGATGTATCTAAATTATCAGATAATTTTAACAATTTTTCATTATTCTATGCACTATATTAAAAATTCTAAATATTTATGATGATATTATATATATTTTTTTATTAATATATATATTATTTTTATTAATATTAATATTAATTCTCTTTAAATCTTATTAAATAAAATTAAATTCTTTTTTATTTCTAAATTATTATTTTCCTTCACTTCATATTTAATAATAATTTTTTAATAAATTTTTTAATTTAAATTTCAGTTATTTTCTTTTTCTTATCTATTACTTCTTTTAAAAATTATTTATTATTTTTAAAAACTTCTTTAAAATTTAATTTAATTTTTTTTATTATATATAATTTTACTTTAAGATTATATAATTTTTTCTTTTAAAACTTTTTAAATATATATATTATTCATTATAAAAAATCAATTTTTTTTATTTTTATTATAATTTATAAAAATTAATTATTAAATATATATATTACTTCTTTAACTTTTTTTATTAATAATATATAATATTTTATTTTTGACTTAAATTTATATTATAATTTAGTATAAAAAGATTGATATATTAGATAAATTATTAGTAAATTTGATAAATATTAGATCAGTAATAATTAGTAAATATATTAATTTTTTGGTTATACTAATTCAAAATCTGTATAGAACTCTGAAAATAGAAATTTTAGAGAAGTGTAATCTAAAGAAACTGTAATGATTAGCATAATTACAAATTATTACAGTTCTTTAAATATAAATTAAACAGATAAATAATAAATAGATTGATTATATATATTATTATTTATTTTTTTTTTGAAGTTTATAATAGATATAAATTTGACTTTAAAATTTTTTATTCTTTAAAATATATATTTATTTAATAAAAAAAGATTTATTTTGTCAAATCTCAGCATAATGTGTACCTCTTGATTTATAGATTCTATTGGAATTATATTATACTCTTTAACATAGTATAGATAAGAGCAACTATATTTTTCTGACTTATTTAACATAATATCATATTAATAAATCAGCAAGATTATATAAATTCTTTATCAATCCTTAAAAAAACTATAGAAAGAGTAGTATCTTTTAAAAAGAAATATAAAGATTAATTTATTCAAAATTGCTAAATTTGAAATTATATTTTATTATTCTTCAAGTTATATTTATCTTTCTATATCAAGTATCTTTA